ATATTTGCCATCTGAATTTGAAACATTTGGTCTAGATTTTAGTTGTCCAGTGGTGTTCGGTCTGGCTGAAATCCAGACCAAATTGAGGCCTTTTAAGATGTCTGGATTTTGCAGTCCAAAAGGTTCCAGGTGGCTCTGTATGGGGCCAAACTGACTTTAGTGGATAATCCCATATGAATCTCTTATAACCAGTCTTCCCAACCAAATTTACAAGAATATTCCTGAAATGCCCGATTTATTTGGAACTATTTACCATGTGATATCCAACTCACTCTTCCAACTCCTTCTTTAAATATTCTCTTAAAATCCATCACTCTAAATAAACATTTTCACTAATCACATTAATTTCCTTTCAAACTCATCACCATTATATCCACAGTCTAGCAATTTTCTTCTCCGTGTGCTTTTGTCTGTTACCCACAGTACACACTTGTGAATGACCTATCGTTTAGGTTGTAAAGTGTGAGCAGGGCAATGGAAGCGTACTGGACACTAGAGTATATCTCTATGATATACTAATATGTCTCTATGAAGCAATTTTTGTTTTAACAATCACTGCTATTTATATCTTATGCTTCAGGGTTTGTTGGTGCTTTATAGTGTGCCTCTAGAATACAGGTTCACAAAATCACTTTTAAAAGCAAAATGGAAAACATACCAACATAAGCCATCACTGATCCACAACCCATATATAGCCAGGCTTAAAGCTTAACTCATTTCTCATTTTGCATATCAGATCTTGTGTTGATTAGTCATTATAATGCAAATGTGTAATTATCAATCAAGGAACATAGCACAGGATTCCAATGCAGTACAGGGACCACAGGAAATATTTACTAATTTATAACTTGAGCACATCTGGGGAGAATGCTACATGTGGATCAATCAGCCAAAGCATTGATTGCCTTGATAAATATAGTCATATTATTAAATGTATTATGAAATACAACCTTACAAAAAACTTATGCAGAATTAAATAAAAATGTATTTAGCAAAACTACGACCAAGAAAAAAAAAAAAAAACAACAAAAAAAAAAACCACCACAGGATTTCATTTAACAATTAACATGGCATTATTTAAAAACATTTTTGTTAATATTACCCGAACTATAATCAATGCATGACTTATTTACTGGTCCACATTTTAGAAAATTAATGAAGACTCTATTCTCTAACTCTTCACAATGCTTAATACATCAATATGAACTTACCAAGTGTTGTGATTGTAAGATTTCCCATGCCACTGAAATACTGAGCCAGTTAGTACTCTCCCAGTGTGCGAGATCACTGTTCACATTGCACTGATCTCTGAACGAAAACCCTAAATTTGACTGTGCAATTTTTCAGCAAGAAACAAATTTGCATAATTCAGCGTCTCTTGGGGTGGAGGTACATCACACACTGATGGTTCAAAATAAATTGTTACAAATGCAGTCAGCTGTCTGTATGGAAATACACAAGAACTATGCACTTACAATAACTTTTTTAATGTGTGGTTGCATAGTTAAGGTTACCATGTATAAATCCACCACACCTTAAAGACACATCTCGTGCCAAGACCAGTCTTTAAATAAACCTCTGTAACTAAGGAAGCAAACCTAGCATGGCAAAATACAGACATATGATTATATGTCCTGTTTGTCCTCAAAGAAAACATGGTATATTGAACACATATAGAAAAACAAATAGATGGTGTATTCATATATAGCACAAAGGAAGAGCTGTCCAATGCTGGATATGATTATTGTGATTTAATTCTAAAATAGCTTTAAGTGGCTCTCTGCCTTTGAGGTTTTATGTCATAAAATAAAAGTTTATACAGTTATCTAGTTATGTATATATCAGTCGCTGTGGTTGGGAAAGAGCCGCAAGTACTTCCAAGGGTTCTTCTACCTAGCAATACTGAAGAAACAAAACATAAAATAAGAGCAACTCTAAATAAAAGAATAGAGTGATACAAAAAAATCTGAAACAAAACAAAAATGGAGAATGGAAAAGCTATGTTATATAGTACCATGTATTATTCATTTTTGGCATGTAACCCGCTCTAAAGCACTCTGACAGGACTGCTTGCTATTTATCATTATCCTGGACTTTTCCTTTTCCTTATCCTGGACTTTTCCTTATTTATTTTAAATTCTCTTTTTTATTGATTTTCAAGAAACACTAACATGTAAGGTACATAATTTGAGAAGCAAAAAGCAATATCATTGACAGACATATGTAGCAACAAAGTTTTAACACTGTGGTCATTATGGGGTATACCATGAATTTATTTATTTTATTTACACACATTTTCCAATTATACGGCATGGGGAGGTGTGCGTAGGGATGAAAAAACAAACTGATCTAACTCCTAAGTGGCAGAGAAGAGTAATGAGACTGTAAGGGCACAGTCTATATATCAAAACCATATATATTCAGGAACCAAGTCATGCTCTGTGGCCCTTTAACAGCACAACAAGACCCCTGTTTTAATGGCAGTGCTGGGAGGAAGTGAGAGACTGTCACTTCCTCCAAGCTAACAGACTAAGCTGTGTGGAAGGAGGACGCAGGGGTGAGGGCACAGACTAGTAAAGACAGACACTGACCCCAAACAGCCTCAGCCAGCAGAAGCCAAACTAGTGCACTAAAAACACAGGGCAGCTAAAAATGCGTACATTTTGACCTGCATGATATGCATGATCTTTGTGTGTCTGTGTATCTGCTTATATGTCAGTGTTTGCATCTGTGTGTCTGTGTAACTGCATATGTCATTGTCTGCTTATGTGTGTCTGTGTGTCTGTGTGTCTGTGTGTCTGCAAGTATGTCAGTGTGTATCTATGTATCTGCATGTGTGTGTGTGTGTGTGTGTGTGTGTGTATGTGTGTGTATGTGTGTGTGTGTGTATGTGTATCAGTGTGTGTGTGTATGTGTGTGACACTGTATATGTATATGTGCATACATCCAGAATCCATATGCCAACACTACAAACAAATATACCGCGTCACTCAGCATCGATACGTTATAGAGACACACACCCCTACATTTAAAGGCAAACACTACACTTAAGTAAACCACTGCTTTTAAATGGCAACAGTATATAAAAAACAGACAACACAACAATATACCCTAATACACCTCTACATTCACATACATCCTCCATACAAAAAGATGCTTACAACATAGAAGGGACCCTAGTGCAAGAATTTGTTTAGGCCCCACTTTCCCATGAGTGGCCAAAAGGTAGATCTACATCTGTTGTTCAACTCCCACAATCCTTTGCCAGCTGGTGATGTATTATTTGCCAATCCTTGCAGGGTTGTATTTAGAACTGAGCAGTGTTTGTATGTTTGAATGTAAGCATGTCTTTGCATGAAGTATGTGTGAGTAAATGGTTTTGTCAGATTGTAGGTGAGGGCATATGTAGGTACTATACCTTCATTATAGTAATATGGAGGTCTTATTGAAATTTAATTAACAAGCGCCTCATAAGTAACCCTGGTAGCGTTGAGGAGTTTTATCTATTTGTCCGCTGGCTGCTAATACGGGCAGCAGGCTAATAGTACTTCAAACTATCAATTCACTTGCAAAAAGCAAGTGATTGATCATTTAGGAACGAGCATCATGCCTGTTGCATCAGCTGCCATGCAGTCGTTGATAAATCTCTGATTTCTGGTGTTGTGAATTGGTTTGGATGCGGATATTAGTGAATTTTGGAACTCACCCGAACCAATTTTATAGAATTGATCGGACCGACTGAATCGTGACCCAATGTGGTTGGAATTTGGTAGTTTTTTATCTATTCAGACAAAATCCAGAGTTTAGTAAATACCGTGTATATAAAACCATATTGAATTTCAAATTTAAGGTCAAAATAGCTGAGATGCAAACATTCTCTAAGGCTGTTATGCTTTCAGTTCGGCTACTCTGGCCTTACATTTGAACTCACATTGAATTCTCACTTTTTTAAATAACACTGAAAGTGTATATTAGTTCACTACATTGGCAGGCTGGCAATTAATAAAATGATGTTCAATGAAATTTTGATGAAATGGATGAATAACACACACACACATAGTAGTAAAATACTGCTGTAACAATGGCATGACATCCAGCATTCGCCAGACAAAGATGAAAAAACTCCCAGCATGCTGCAGAGGCTTCTGTCGCCTATTAGCGGGAGCTTCCTCTGAGGAACAGATGTTACATTCACTCTATAGTACATTTCTGAAAAAGGCTTAGAAGTTTTATTTCCCTGTGCCAGAAAGATGACTTTTATGGAAAATAACTATTGAGAGTAAGACATATTATTTGCCGGAATGGTTTGAATTTGCTTTTTCCACCTCAATAAATTATATTAGGTCGAAACAAACAACATGTGTTTGCTTTTACTGCTGACTTAAGCTTTCTTTCAGCATTCATCAGATGGCTAGTTAATTATGTCTGCAGCAGAGATGGCACTGTGTAAACAGCCCATCTAATTTTCAGCATATAGTCTTGTAAAGATCCCAGACCCTTAGGCAAACATCACATATTTTCATTTGTTAGAAAACGAGTACTGTTACTCTCCTTTCTGACGTTCTCTGATATTGGTGAGACAATGTCGGGCACGCGGACTGCTTAAGGAGAAGCCCCATGAGGTTTGATGGAGCGAAGTGGGTAAGTATAGCGCTCGCGCTAGGGGTTAAATGCAGGTTAGGGTTAAATACAAGGCAGCTCGCGCTGGCAGTTAAGGCGGCAAGCTCGCGACCAGGGCATGAGCCCTGATTGGTAGATAGCAGCGCGAGGGCAATATTGGAGGGAAAATAGGGGATATAAATTGGAGGGCGCCAAATTAATTGCCTCAGATTGTGCCAGACAAATCCGAAGGTTAGCTATATATTAAAATATTTAAGCTGCTGTTTCTTACCTTTGGAGATGTCTGGCACAATTGAGGCATTATTAGAACAGCTTAAACAAAAGGCTTTAGGCTGCAGTGATACTGCATGGCTACAGGCTTGCTTAGAGTCCGCCCCCAGCACCTCTGGTCTAATTGAAGTAGAGGAAGAAGAAGGGGCTGAGCTACAGGAGGAGTTAATAATGGAGGAGGGAGCAGGATATTCCCCTCAAAAAATTAAAGGGCAAGTGCAAGAAAGAAAATCTGGTGATAGCGACCCCTGCAGGATTCGTGAGGCAAGAACGAAGAGGTCCAGGGAAACCTTCTCACCGTCTCCAATAAAGAATAGGAAGAGGATGTGGAAACAGGGCAGAAAATACGAACAAAAGAAGAAGAATAAAGAGGCTGAGGACAGACCTAGGCTATTCGAAGAGAGCGAAGCAGCTCAGGATATCCCAGGTTGCAGTCATGAGCTGGGTGAGTTACAAGCAAATGTGAATAATGCTGTTTTCGGGGAAGTGGTGTCTTCACTTGAGAAACTTACAAAATTATTGCAGACACCTAAATTAGCGAGAGTATGGGAGCCTGATACAGAAGTGGTCACAGTTAATCCAAAAGTGACACATTCTGTGAGGGAAGAAGTTAGAGTAAAAGAGACATGCATGAAAGAAGCTTTAGGTTGTGAAAGCTCCCCTCTGGGTTTTCATTTAAGTAAGTCTATAAAGGATAGGATATGGAAAGGGGAGTATATCGATATTCTATCATTATTGCCCACAGCCAGAGAATTTACTAAACCCGACAGGGAAAAGGGGGATGAGGAGAGGAAAAAGTTTATTCGAGGTCTTTCAATAATTGGCTGCAAGCTTTTTGCATTTATGCTAGCGTGTTAGGCGAAAAATATCCAGAATTGTGCTGTGGGCTATTTCAACATACAGAAGCTATTTTGGAGGCATATAAAAATTTTGGGGGTTTGTCATGGTTTTATTATGACGAACAATTCCGACAAAAACTAGCAGTACATAGCAACCTTAAATGGGGTATGAAGGATGTCGGACTATGGGTGAGCATGATGTTACCGCAGAGACAGCCTAATTTTGTTAATAGGCAGGTTACAAATGTTGCACAGAAAAAAGGTTTTTGCTGGGCTTATAACGAATCACAATGTAAGTGGCTGAATAATTGTAGATTCCGGCACGAATGCGCTACCTGTTCAGGTGCGCATCCTAATTTTCGCTGCTATAAAAGAGGACAACAAAGTGGTACATTTCCAAAAAGCACAGACCCCAGTGAAAGTGGTAAGGTTACTACCTTATCTCGCAATCTATCCAAACCGGGAGAAAGCCAAATTAATTAAAGAAGGTTTTGAAAATGGTTTCAGGTTACCTGTATATAGTTCTGTTGAATTTTGTTGGGTTGAGAATTTAAAATCAGTTTTAGAGTTACCAAGTTTAGCCTGGGAAAAGATTTGCAAAGAGTTAGAGTTAGGGAGAGTTGAGGGCCCCTTTTAATGTTCCTCCATTTAAATGTTTTCGGTTATCCCCTCTGGGTTTGGTTCCAAAGAAAGAACCCGGGTCATATAGACTAATACATCACCTATCATACCCCAAGGGAGGATCTTTAAATGACATGATTTCTAGAGAAGAAAGTTCAGTGTCTTATTCAACTTTTGATAAGGCTTTAAATTTGGTAAGAAAATGTGGAAGGGGTGCTTTGATGGCGAAGGGGGATATAGAATCTGCCTTTCGACTCTTGCCGATTCATCCCGAATCCTTCAATTCACTAGGTTTTCAGTTCAAGGGCCAGTATTTTTTCGATAAGTGCCTGCCTATGGGTTGTGCACTGTCATGTTCTTATTTTGAGACCTTTGCGACTTTCATGGAATGGATTATTCGGTATGAATCAGGTCAGCAGCAAGTAATGCATTACTTGGATGATTTTTATTTGTGGGCACTAAGGATAGTGACAACTGTAAGAATTTACTAGAAACATTTAGAAGGGTGGCTGGTCATTTAGGAATCCCATTAGCAGAGGATAAAACGGTTTTACCCACATTTTCTTTGCAATTTCTGGGAATAATGATTGATTCAACAAAAATGGAATTTAGGTTGCCGGAGGATAAGATACTGAAAATGAAGATGCTGATTCAGCAGGTAATGGGCTGTGAGAAGGTGACATTGAAAGTTTTACAATCTCTGTTAGGTCTGTTAACATTTGCTTCAAGGGTTATTCCAATGGGGAGAGCTTTCTCCAGGAAGTTGGGGATAGCAATGTCTAAGGTTAGGTCCCCATTTGCACACATTAGGGTAACAAAAGAATTGAAGCAAGACCTTAAAGTATGGCATAATTTCCTAACAGATTTTAATGGAAGATCAATGTGGCAACAAGAGTTTATAGATTCGGATAGTCTTGAGCTGTTTACAGATGCATCTGGTGCTATTGGTTTTGGCATATATTGGAATGGACAGTGGTGTGCACAAGAATGGCCGGTTCTTTGGGCACAGGAAGGCTTAACCAAAAACTTGACATTGTTGGAATTGTTTCCAATTGTAGCCGCAATATATCTATGGGGAGGAGCATGGAGAAATAGGCGGCTGATCGTCACTTGTGACAATCTAAGTGTAGTAATGGTAATTAATTCCTTACAGTCTAGGTGTAATAGAGTTATCAATTTACTTAGACACTTAGTGTTAAGGTGTTTTCAGCTGAACATATGGATAAAAGCTAGACATATACCAGGCAAAATCAATAGGCTGGCTGATGCTCTCTCACGATTGCAATTGCAGGAATTTCGAAAATTGGCACCAAGAGCAGCTGCGGAAGGAACCCAGTTCCCGTCAGACCTTTGGGATTTGATTGGGGACAGTTAAGTGTGATGCTGATGAATTCAGTAGCTGTTTCTACGTGGAGTACATATGTCAGAGCATGGAATGAGTGGTTCAAATTTAATCAGTCAAACAATAAAGATCCGTTTGGAGAGGACAAGGAGAGCGCAATACAATTTACATTGGTGTCAATGCAGAAAGGTTTCTCTAAGTCCAAGTTAGCTTGTAGTTTAGCCGGGGTGGATTTCTTTAGGAAGCTGTGTGAATGTAAACCAATTAAGCAGTATTTCATAGTTAATCAGTTAGTTCGAGGTTATAGAAGAGCCAGTAGAGTAAGGGATAACAGAAAACCAATATCGTTTAAGGTGCTATCACAGTTATTTGTAGTCCTGGAGGAAGTATGTTATTCTGAGTATGAGGTAGTTTTAATTAGATGTTCATTTATAATAGCTTTTTTCGCAGCGTTAAGAATTAGCGAGTTAGTGGCTAAGAGTAAGTTTTGTTTGTCAGGTTTACAATGGGAAGATATTATAGTTAATGATAGGAAAGTGATGGTATTCATTAGAAAATCTAAAACAGATCAGGAAGGCAAAGGAAGATGGTTAACATTGCTGGAGATTAAAGGTTCTTTTTTGTGTCCGGTTAAGGTGACAGAAAATTACTTGTCAATTAGACCAAGGGTTGAAGGTCCTTTTTTCATGCATAAGGACACCGTTCCGTTGACTAAGTTCCAATTTAAAAAGGTCTTCAAGTTGTGCATAGACAAGTTAAAGTTAGGCGATGAGCGTTATTCATCTCATTCTTTTAGAATTGGAGCGGCAACAGAAGCAGCAAGGTGTGGTTTAAGTGATGGAATGATTCAAAGGTTGGGGAGATGGGAGTCTAATAGATTTCAATTATACGTCAGGCCTCATTTGATATAAAAAAAAAAAAATTAAAAAAACGTTAACGGTTCTTTGTTATTAAAGTTTATGGATGTATATGAACATTGGCGTATATATGTTAATAATCTTCTTTTGCTAGGTAATAAGAAGCCGGCGATTGCCTGGGTAATCGGTCATTCATTTATATTTTGGGCCCAGAAGAGGGCAAAAGAACGGTCATATGGCGAAAATCTCGGATTAGAAAGCAATGCTGTTAAAGTCTTTTGGAAAGGAATTCGTGGGGCTAAGTGGTCTCAATTATTTGAAATAATACAACAATGCATGTTAAGTTTTCCCTATCCAGAGGTAGTAATAGTTCATTTGGGAGGGAACGATATTGGCTCAACGAAATCGGTCAATTTGATAAAAGAGATTAAAAGTGATTTGGTATGCATAACACAAATATTTCCAGATGTTCGGTTCATATGGTCGGAGATTATCCCAAGGCATTGCTGGTTAAAAGTAAGTTTTTTAAAACCATTGGAAAGGGTACGTAGGAAAGTAAATAGAGCGTTGGAAAATTTTTACCAACCCTGGGAATGACCTCATATAGACACAGGGATATTGAGGGCAATTGCGCTGGCTTTTATAGGAGCGATGAAGTTCACTTGTCGGATATTGGTTTGGATATATTTAATTTGGAGATTCAATCCATGTTGGAGATGGCCGTGGGCGTTGGGGGGCCACCGAGTTTGGTAGCCCAGAACCTCGGTGGCGTTGGGATATAAGTCGCCCTCACAGGCGGGTGGATTTGGTGGATTTGGTTGAAGAGATATTTATGGCTCCTGGCTTTGGAGGGGGGCGGAGCCTTGGAAAGTGGTTTAATATGTTGGTTTTAAAGCTATGGTTTATTATTATTCATATGGTTATGGTTTAATAGGAATTATGAAATCCATAATAAAGGTTCACGGCCATTCTCCAAGGTGTATCACTAAAGTTATTAAATAAACATTTTGATTGAAAATTTCTGCTTGTGTTTATTTATTTATGTTTCACTTCGATTACAACATTCAAACCTCATGTCGGGCACGCGGACTGCTTAAGGAGAAGCCCCATGAGGTTTGATGGAGCGAAGTGGGTAAGTATAGCGCTCGCGCTAGGGGTTAAATGCAGGTTAGGGTTAAATACAAGGCAGCTCGCGCTGGCAGTTAAGGCGGCAAGCTCGCGACCAGGGCATGAGCCCTGATTGGTAGATAGCAGCGCGAGGGCAATATTGGAGGGAAAATAGGGGATATAAATTGGAGGGCGCCAAATTAATTGCCTCAGATTGTGCCAGACAAATCCGAAGGTTAGCTATATATTAAAATATTTAAGCTGCTGTTCCCACCCACCCTTCCCCCTTTTATTTATTTTATGTCGTGACCTTATTATGGGATATAAGTCGCCCTCCTGGTCATCACAGGCGGGTGGATTTGGTGGATTTGGTTGAAGAGATATTTATGGCTCCTGGCTTTGGAGGGGGCGGAGCCTTGGAAAGTGGTTTAATATGTTGGTTTTAAAGCTATGGTTTATTATTATTCATATGGTTATGGTTTAATAGGAATTATGAAATCCATAATAAAGGTCCACGGCCATTCTCCAAGGTG